TTATTCTGGATTGGTTGGCAAACAGAAGTGTTTGGCACAATTTTGCTTCTTGTCACAGTCCCCACATTTAGCGACAACAAGAGTACAGTCGTCTTCCCCACAGAAGCACAAGTACAGCCCATCTTCAAATCACGAAACCAATTAAGTCTATAAACCGTGATTGCACTGTATATGCAATCAGCAATTTTCCTAATATGTTCAGAGTTAGATAAGAGAAGAAAAGTTGTTTATCAAGAAGAATCTTATATCAATGTAGTAAATAAATAGCTTTGTGAGGATGTATTAAAGACCACAAAAATTTCTACGTATAAATGAAAAGTTAAAAGTGGTTTATGAGGAAAAGTGAATTTTACTAAGTGAAAATTATAATAAGGGAGTTTCTAGTTACTGAGATTGAATGCCAAAACTGTGGGACAAATAAATTTTCTAGATTCTCTATGGTAATACATTTTAGGTCAATCATTGTTAATATTTCAATGCTGTAGTTACTACAACTTCAATATGTTGTTATACCTTAAAAATAAAACATTTGACCTACTATGTAGAATTAGGCCTATCTACTTGCTAAGTTATACTTTTATAGATTTAATTTTAAGTTTACATAAAGGTATAAAAAGTAATAAAAGTGAAGGAATATGGAATCAACCATCCCAAGCCCTTTCAACAACTACGTCACAGAAATTTACTATGTTGTTCTTATGTTTTTCCTAAATAATCCTTTGTTGTCTACTTTTCTTCAATAGCAAAAGAAATCTATGAGGCACACCTGGCATTTTTCAAGGGCTTTGTGTGGCTGAGTACACAAACTATTTGTTCTTTCTGAAGGAAAGCATCCAACAACATCCACAGAGTTTCTCTAGAGTATGATTTGCTGTTGGTAAATTTCTTAATTTTAACATCTGGTTTCAAATTTGCTAGACTGAAAATTTTCCAAATAATCAAGGCTGGATTCTTTTTCTTTTAGCAGTCCTATCTAATTTCCTTCTTTCTTGGTACATTTCCCTAGGAGCGCCAGAAGAAAACTAGGCCACATCCTTTTGCCACGTCCTCAGCTCAGTATTTAGCTTTTTCATTTACAATTATAGTTTATAAAAAAAAATTTCAGGAGATAATTGCAGAGAGCTGTCAGCAATAATACAGCAAAAATTATCTTTCAGTTCGCTAATAACCCAAGTCTTGTTTCCTACTAATTCTTCAAAGGCAGCAGTCTCATATCCACATTGACTGCACTAGGCATCATATTTCTATCTGCTATTTAGTGAAATTCTCTGCTGACTCCCTCAGTCTTCACCAACAGTTTTTAGCCTCCACATTTCTCCTAGCAATATATCCAAGACAACCGAGGATTTTCTATTGTGTGCCTCAAAATTCTTCCAGTTTTTGCATATTGACAATTTCAAAGCAACTTTTGTATTTTCACCTTTGTTATAGCAGCATTCAATAATTTTAACCAAAATCTGTATTAGTTTTCTATCACTACCTTAACAAATTGCCAACAATTTAGTTGCTAAAATCAATGCAAAATCTTATAGTTCTCTGGGTAAAAGGCACAGATGTCTCTGTGGTAAAATTGAGGTGCAAGCAGGAGTACATTTCTTTCTGGCATCTCCAAGGGAAAGGATATTCTTCTTGCCTTTCCCAACTTCTAGAAATCATCTGCATTTCTTAACTTGTGGCCTCTTCTTCCTCAATAGTGGTTTGAACATTCATTGTAGTACTGTGGTCTTTCCTTTGTATCATGTGTCTGATTTTGATTTTTCCTTGCTATTTTTTTCTTCCTCTTTAAAGACACCATGAGATTATGTAGAGCCATCCTAGAATATCTAGGTAATCTCCGATTTTAGGGGCAAATGATTTAGCACTGAAAAGTGCTTGTAGCTTTTTTCTCTCCTTACTATTTGAAAAATAGATATCTTTTAACCTCCAAACTTTTCATGAGAAATCCACTGAGACTCAAATTGGTGTTCTCTCTTCCGTATAATTTTTGTATGGCTTCTTTCAAAAATTTCCTTTGTTTCACTGTTTTGTAGTTACATTTTAATATGTCATGACAGGAACTATTTTTCAAGCTTATGCTATTTCTGTTTATTTAGTTTTTTAAAGCTTTGTGTTTAGTTCATCAGATTTAAAGTCTTCACTCTGGTTTCTCTGTAGATCATATAAATCTTTCGCCTTTTACAAAGTTAAAGTCTTAAGCCTTCGTTTATTTGAATAATATTTTTCTCTTTTTGCCATCCAATGGTACAAATAATTAGTAGCATAGATTCTTCATGTTTTGTTCAGGTATTTTTCTCCATTTTATCTTTGATGCCCATATTGAATAGCTAGTTCATTTTTCTTCAAGTTCTCTGGAAGAAAATTCTGATTTCTTCCTTTGTAATCTCTACTAGTGAGCTAATACAGTGAGTTTTCCTTTGTTGTTTTCAATTTGCAAATTTAAGTTTGCTTCTTTTTATAATACCTATTTCTTTTCTGAAATTTTCTTTGTTGCTATTTTTCCACCAAAGCACACAATAGTGACTCATTCTGTAATATATCAAGGTGTCATGTAGCCCAAAGTCAACTGGAAATGTCTGAGTTCCCATTTTATTCATAAGGTTAACTAAAGTATTCTAAACCTGCACAGTCACTTTGGAATAAAAGGCATGTTAAAAATTTGCAGAGATAAACATAATTCCATTACCTTAGTACCTTTTATGAGGTAGCACTGAGATTAAATCATAAAATATGATACCACTCCCGATTATGGCCATATTTAACAGCTAGTATTCACACTTTTTGTACTTCTGGCAGAGAGTTTTGAATAGCCCTGATGATAATGAGTTTAGAGATGATTTGAGCAGAAAGGAAGGCCTAAGACAGATATATAATACTAAATACTCATCAAAGCATTTGGAATAAGAGCTACTAGGCACTTTTAGTGTTATTTAATTGGACACTAATTTCTCAGCAGCTACTAAAATTGAATACTATGATTTCAAGAATATTTAGCTGGGATTACTAATCAAATTACTAAGAAATCTTTTTATATTTATTTTATATATGTTACTGGCAAATAAATGTTGTTCCATTGGACTTTATTAACTTTTTTTGTTTGTTTTAGACTGATTATAATGTAGCTATTTGCTCAAATTATCACCACATATATCACTTACTGGAAGGATTTTTTTTTCCTTATTTTAAGACTAATGAAAGTTTTGTAAAACACTATGAAAGCCATATTGGTCATTAATTAAATGAGTGACCGTTTTTGTTTTGTTTGGTTTGGTTTGGTGGTACCAGGGATTGAACTCAGGACCTTGCCCTTGCCAGGCAAGCACTTATTCCGCTGAGCTATCTTCCCAGCCCCAAGTGATCCTTAATATTATTTATAAATATAAAATAAGCCTAGATTACATACATATGTATGTTTATGTATCTAACAAAACAAAGTTTAAAAAACAATGTGAGTGGACTTACATATTTTTTTTATGTTGTAGCCTATTATTTTGTTCTCAGCATAATTGCTCTGGATGAAAGTATGAATAGTGGCTATATTTCACTCAAATTATTAAACCACCTCGGAATGGCTGAACATTCAATACTCTATGAGTAAGTACATTTAGTACATTTTTTTCCCTAAACTTCTTTCTTTCTTCAGTGTGTACTTTATAAGCTGTTCCAAAGAGTAAAATTCTTCTTCAGAAATTATTAAGGTGTAAAATATAACCAAGTTCTCACGTGTCACTTTGTAGCACTTCCATTCTAAAGAGGGATATACTGAACATGGGTCTAAATAACTCATTTATATGACATATTTGGTGAGTATAAAAATTACAAATATAGAAGAAAAATCTTTTTACTCCCTATCATTTGATCCTCAATAATAGTATTCTTCCTAACCATTGCTTTCTTAATTTCTCCAGTTTTCAGTTAATCACATATTCATGGTGATGTAAATAAAAATCTGATGACATTAATTGAGAGTAGAGAAACAATTTTAATATGCTAGAGAACCACTCCCAGTCACAGAGCTTTTTATATATGTAAATTTACTTTTTTATGTGTTTATTTACATATATACATATGTATGTTTTAAGACTAATCATATCAAAGCATGTTTTAGTTTGATTTTCTTGAATGTCTATTTGTGTGTTCAATAAATTTTTAAGTAGGAAATTAATTTTCTCTTTAATAATGGTATTCTTTCTAACCATTGCCTTCTTAATATCTCCAGTTTTCAGTTAATCACATATTCACAGTGATATAAAGAATGATATAAAGGAGCATGCTACTATTAAAATTATTTTCAAAACACTGTGCTAGACTTTGAGACACACTAAGAAATGGAACTTTTTGCAAAGGGCTCCTATGTTCTATGGAGATTAAATAAAAGTTGAACCATGTTGTGCTATCATTTGACGTATAAAAATTTAGTTTAAATTTTTACTGACCATTAATGACATTGGAGAATCAGGAGCCACATTTGACATTTACAACATTAACTGCTGCCACAGACTAGGATGGTATACCAACTAGGCTGGGAGATGAACTACGTCTAATACGTCAAGAAACTTGGACCTGAGTACATAGTGACACACGCATTTACTCAGCCAGTAACTAAGTACAGTAAAAAGTCCCTGCCACTTATGTAGTTGTACAGTCAGTGGTGGTTATGTCTTTAATGCTAGTTACAGTGTTAATTTATTTAAATCTGAGACATTAAACTATAAAGTAGCTGTAGCTCAGAAAAGGTGCAATCTGTTTAGTAGATAAATCTTGCAAACTTTGGACTCCATACCAAAAATAATAAAACATGATGTTCATGTTGGCATAATACCAACCTCAGAATTAAAGTAAAATAAAGGTGCTGTGATCGATCTTAGAAGTAGTAGTATGGGTTAAAACTTTGGCAAACTTTTAAAATAAATTTTGAGATAAACATTTTAAAATTAGATACCATAAATTTAACTTTCTTAATGTATATAAATACATAACAATTAGTTTCATGAAGAAATAAAAATGCAGGTGCACTTTTTTGCAATGGGTTGCCGTGAGATCACAGGTGTAGTGAAAAACACCACTAAATCCAAGCCAACGTGGGAAAGGAAAAGATTCACATTAATATCATTGTCATCAAACACGTGGACTCCAGCAAGTCTACCACCACTGGCCATCCTGATCTACAAATGCAGTGGCACTGACAAAAGAACCATTGAAAAATTTGAGAAAGAGGCTGCTGAGCTGGGGAAGGCTTCCTTCAAGTAGGCCTGGGTGCCGGACAAGCTGAAAGCCGAGCATGAGCGTGGTATCACCATCAGCATCTCCCTGTGGAAATTTGAGACCAGCAAGTATTACATGCCCATCATTGATGCCCCTGGACACACACAGAGACTTCATCAAAAGCATGATTACAGGCTCATCTCAGGCTCCTTTGCTGTCCTGATCATTGCTTCTGGATTTGGTGAATTCGAAGCTGGTGTCTCCAAGAATGGGCAGACCCGTGAGCATGCCTTTCTGGCTTACACACTGGGTGTGAAGCAACTAATTGTTGGTGTTAACAAAATGCATTCCATGGAGCCACCCTACAGCCAGAAGAGATACATGGAAATTATTAAGGAAGTCAGCACCAAGTTAAAATCGGCTACAACCCTGACACCATAGCTTTTGTGCCAATTTCTGGTTGGAATGGTGACAACATGCTGGAGCCAAGTGCTAATATGCCTTGGTTTAAAGGATGGAAGGTCACTTGTAAAGATTACTATGCAAGCAGAACCAAACTACTTGAATCTTTGGATTGTATCCTTCTGCCCACTCACCCAACTGACAAGGCTTTGTGGCTGCCCCTCCAGGATGTCTACAAAATTGGGGGTATTGGTACTATCCCTGTGGGCCAAGTGGAGACTGGTGTTCTCAAACCTGGCATGGTGGTCACCTTTGTTCCAGTCAGTGACACAACTTAAGTCAGTTCTGTTGAAATGTACCATGAAGCTGTGAGTTGAGTGAAGTTCTTCCTGAGAACAATGTGGGCTTCAACATCAAGACCGTGTCTGTCAAAGATGTCCGGCATGGCAGTGTTGCCAGTGACAGTAAAAACAACCCACTAATGGAAGCAGCTGGTTTAACTGCTCAGGTGATTATCCTGAACCATCCCAGTCAGATCAGTGCTGGTTCTGCTCCTGTACTGGATTGTCACACAGCTCACATTGCTTGCAAGTTTGCTGAGCTGAAAGAAAAGATTGATTGCCTGTCTGGTAAGAAGCTGGAAGACAGGCCCAAGTTTTTGAAATCTGGAGATGCTGCCATTTTTGACATGGTTCCAAGTAAGCCTATGTGTGTCAAGAGCTTCTTTGACTACCCACCTTTGCATGTTTTCACTGTTTGCGATATGAGACAGACAGTTTCTGTGGTTGTCACCAAAGCTGTGGATAAGAAGACTGCTGGAGCTGGCAAGATCACCGTCTGCCCAGAAAGCTCAGAAGGCTAAATGAATATTATCCCTGACACCTGACACCCCAGTCTTAATCAGTGGTGGAAGACTGGTCTCAGGACTGCTTCTCCCAATTGACCATTTAAGCTTAATAGTGAAACACTGGTTAATGATAACAATGTATCATAAAAACTTCAGAAGAAAAGGAGAATATTTTGTGGACCATTTTTTTTGGTGTGTGTCAGTTTTTAAGTTATTAGTTTTTAAAATCAATACTTTTTAATGGAAACAACCTGACCAAAAATCTGTCACAGAATGTTGAGACCCATTAAAACAAAGTTTAATGAGAAAAAAAAAATACAGGTCCCAGAGTATCAATTCTTCATGGCCTTTCTCTTTTTCCTACTTCCCTTCTGTTCCAAAGGAAAAAAATAAAGAAAATTAAACCAAAATTCCAATCCAAGTTTTTCAATGCCGTCAAGGGTCCTCTTTTATTAACAGAAACTTTTAACCAATTTTCATCTAATTTTGAACACTGGTCTTTAAAGTTATGATTATAAGTATACATCAATACGATCTAATGGTTAATCTTTCTAGAATATGCTTTATCTTTTGAATTAAAATTTGTTCTTATAACATATTGTTAATCATCAAACTTATGAAGACATTATATAAAATATAGGGACTTTGACTAAAATAGTTGGTATAGTTTTGTGAGGAGGTTCAACATACTAGAAGACATTAATGTTTAATTGTATCTCTTCTAGTAAATAATTGTGATAAACTTTATGATAGGATAATACTTTGTGCCTTAATAAAAGGCACAAAGAATGAGCAAGAAAACATTTGAAAGTAAAACTATAGTTTCAAAACAAAGAGAAGTTACTTTAAAAGTCACTATAATTTAGATCTAAAATTTTCTCCCGATAGCCTCATGTATTTAGAGATATTAGCTTATGTGAGGTGAGTGGATCATGACAGCTCCAACTTGATCAATGGATTAATTTCTTGATGAGATAAGTTGATGACACTTTGAGGAGGTGATGAAAACAGGGAGGAGTGCCTACATGAAGGCTGTAAGTCACAGGGAGGTGAAGGTCCTGGCCTCTGGAACCTTCCTTGTAGCTCTTTCTTTCCCACCCTGCTTGCTGGCTGTCGTTTGGGTGAGCAGCTTGCCCTGGTGCTTTTGGTCCTGGTGCTTCTGCTGTAGGGCCCGATGACATCTCTGAAAACTTCAGCCAAAATAAATCTTTCCTCCTATCAGGTTTGTATTTCAGATATTTTATTGCCTCAAAAGAAAGGTGACTCATGCATATGGAGATAGGAAAGTGTGTAAGACTGGGACACAGGCCACAGTACTAACATCGCCTTTTATTTTTCCAGGAGGCAAAGAAATTGAGTTTTGACTTACTTTATAAACATATGGAGAACTGTTGATACATTTATTCATTCTCGAATGATTGTATTTTTTATGAAGGAATTTAAAGGATAAAAACATCACATATGTAACAATCAGCCTTAGCCTATTAATGTTACTGTTTTCTATCAATTATTACTTGAGATTAAAATATCTTCTGGATACTAGGGAGATCAGATAATTTAGGTTCTCTTTTGTTTTCCTCTTTACACTGAAACGTTTTCTTACTGTATGACATGTATGATATTATAGAATAGAAAACAAATCATTTGTAATGGTAAAAATCATGAATACTTACAGTCACCATTGGATTTATAATCACTCCTTTTCCTTCTTGTCTTTCTCATCTTTCTTGTCTTCTTTCACCTCTCTCTGCTCTGTCTTCTTTTACATGACTTTGTGTTCATACAATGTTTTATTTAGCAATACAAGATCCTTTCTGAAAATTTATTCTGTGGCCTGAGTTTTATAATTAATTCTATTTTGTTGCCATATTTCCTAGGTAACTAGAAATAATTTAGACATTGAGGTAAAATGTAATATTACATAATATAGAGTATTAAACGTGACACATATATATTGCATGCTAGGTTAAAATATCACACAAGTGGATGAGTAATGAGTTTAAAACAAACCATACTGGAGAAAAATATCTTCAGAGGATTCTGAGGAATCCTACTTTCATGTTACTAAGAGGTATTGCTACTTTTGAATTCATATGAAGAAAAAGGGGGGTCTGAACCAAGTCAGTGAGAGAGAAAAAGGAATCATGAGGTAGGTTACAGGAGTAGTATTTATCCTCACAAATATGTGTGCTCAGCTATCTAGGCACTAGGAGGCCTCTACAGCCACCTGCAAGATGCAAACAATCTTGGCTACGGGTTAAGCTGCTGGGAGAGTAGTAAACACATGGTGTCATACACGTGGTTCTGGATTCAGGTGCATACAGAATAAAACAGTTATGGGATTCAGAAAGGCTTCTACCTAGATTTCATAAGAAGACCTACAAGGCCAGGCACTATGCTTCTTAGAAGGCAGTTCCTGAACCTGTGAGCATGAAGGCTAAGGTTCACTGGAGATCCCAAACACTTACAAAAGCAAGAAACAAAGATAATTGGAAGAAAGCTATAAGAAATGAGCAAAGCCAGCCCAGGAGGCAGGTTGTGGGGTTGCAACCACTGGCTGTGCCATCGGGAAAGACCCACCCTAACCATCTGGACTTCATATCTTGGCTCAAGAGTGCTTCACAAGGATGATAGGATTTAATATCTTCTTGTCAACTGCCTTATTGTGGTGCTTTGCTATCTCCCTTATATAATTTCAAATAATTGGGGTGTGTGGCTTTTGTTTTCCTACCCTTTGATGCTCCATGGATCAACTTTGGGGTATTTGGGAATTTTCAGAGACAATTGTTGGCTTATCCTTTCTCTCATTTTTTACTTTGTGTATTTGTTTTTGTGTTTATTATAATGGAAAGTTCCCTTGTTTCTAGGATGTAGACTTTTTTATTTAATTTCCACTGTTCAGCAGTGTTCCCCAGGTATTTTTAACCTTTGGCATTTTCCTATGTCTTAGGTTCTAACCACTTCATTTATCTGGATAGGAAGTTGCATTATATTTTACCCAGTACTCAGTTCTCCAAGAATGGGCTACAGGATTATTCATACCCCAAGGCAATATAGATATTAACATCCTAAGAAAACCAATTAACAGCTAAAGCTGTATCACTTTGTTATAATAAAACATCAGCATCAATTATAGCATTAAATACAATTGAGTATTTACAAATCAGAAAGATCACATTTAGCCATACAAAAGAGATCTATATTTACTATATGAACAGTAAAGCAAACCAAATATTTTTTTTGCGTTGACCTAAAGTATATATCTACTAAGTTGAATAACTTTTCTTACATAACAGTAGAACAGTATCTGACAAAAATATTGTAAATTAAACTAGCTATTCATGAGGAAGGGAACCAAAAGAATAATTTGAGAAATTAATCAATAGCATATGGGAAAGGGGAGAGAAAAGTACAATGATGTCCCCCTGAGAACTAAAAGGAAATAAATTATGATAGAGAACAGTTGTAGGAAAGAATGAAGGATAAAAAGGTAAACAAAGAACAAATACAGTGAATAAAGAGAAGAAAGAGAGGTGAAATGGAAAAAGAAAAAGAGAAAAAAATTAAAAAGAATAAAATTCAATGAAGGAAATAAAAAAATAATAAAAGATTGAGTCAGTGACAAAATTCTGTTTTTAAATCAGTGGTTTCTTTCAAAAAATCTGTCCATTAGGCAAGGGACAATGGTTACAGATACCACCTCCAGAACAGAGATGGAGCCCAAGCCTGCAGAGGGCTGGGAGGCGCCTTCCAAACTCCAGGGACAGCAGAGCTGTGGGTGGCACCCGGTGACTTTCCCAAAATACTTCTATATGGGAATGCATGCATTAAAATATATTATTAAATACTTTAAAGTATATTATTAAATTATATTAAAGTATATTATTAAATACTTTAATTTATATTTTCCTAAATATGTTCTTTAAGTGTCATATGTTTCTTAAATATATTATTAAAGTATATTATTAATATTTTCTTAAATATATTATTACAGTATATTATTAAATTATATTAAAGTATATAATTAAATACTTTAATTTATATTTTAATTGGGCTTTCCCTTTGGAATTGTGCTAGCTCATTAGCATAAAACTGATTTTGGAATTAAATTAAGTTTGAAATTATTAATGGGCTGCATATGTCAAATTTTGTCTTTAGGAAGAGCAAACCATTTTATAAACTTCAAGAAGTCAAGATTCTTGCTCAATTTTTAAATGATGTTGGAAATATATCTAGAATTGTTTTGAGATATTTCCAAAATTCAAATTTCCACTGTTCCACAAATAAACATAGGATCCAGCGTCTCATGTTAAAATCACTAACATATCCAGAAAGGTAAGAAAGTGAACATTTTTTCAACATTTTATCTTAAACTTGAAAATATCCCTTTATGAAGAATTATTTACAAATGTATGTATTCAAATATCTGTTTATTGTTTACTTTAGAATACCTTATGCAGAGATATTAGAATATCATTAAGGTATAAAATGCATTTTTTGGCTGCCTGAAATTTATTTTGGAAACATATCACCCAAAAAAGAATGAAAACATCTGCTTATTTCATAAAAGAAAACAAAAAAGAAAAAATGTAATAAATATGTTCCTTTCTTTCTTGCATGTTATGTAAATTTACAGAGTGTTTGAAAGTTTTTGTATACAATCCTCTAGGTGAAGTACAAAAGCTAAAAGCTCTATAATGACACGATGCTCACAGAAGATGGAAATCCTAGAGACTTCTGATGCCCCAATTGGCGTTTCCTTCTTCCAGATTCATTACCATTTAGCTGTTCGGGGTTTGCTTTTATTTGCTGCAGCTAAGATTCGATCAGGTTGAAAAGAATCAGCCTCAAGAATACATATACAGACCGAAGGAAGGCTCCAAGATACACACTATAGCAGCAGGAAGAGAAGCTGGCTCTTCACATTTTAGTTTTATGCCTTGATTTGTCAGTTATGACATAAATCTCTCCACTTTTATTAAAATATTGCATCATGATGATGATCTGAGTACCACTGTCATGAAGACAGGTGCTGTTGAAAGAATGTTGCAGCCCATTTAATGAGCTGTTCTTTGTTTCATGTCCTCATGAGCCGTTTCCTTGTCCTCATGGTACTGATGTGCATATTTGCTACAGAAGAATTAGCATTTCCCTCGAGAGACACTATCAAAGTGGGAAGGACCTCTTTACAAGTTGTTCATTTGTCAGCTGGATATGTGAGTTGCTCTGGTAGTAATTACCAGCTAATAGAAGTTGCAGATTACTTGGAGTCTCTCCTTCATTTGATTGTGATGCTTACTTTTTATTTCTCTTTCTGTTTGTATTTATTTTGCTTTTCCATTACCTTCCTATGAATATCAAACATACTAACTGATATTTTACGGTACAAAAATAATAAATGATAAGAATATATATTTACATGAAATCTATATCAATAGAAAGAAGTTGGGAACATTTTTGAATTGTAAGTCATTTTATAGCTTTTGGGATGATAACATTTAGTCATTTAAAAGTAAATAAAATGCCATTATGACAACAAACATTCATTTGCTGCCATTTGCTTTTGGTAATAATACATTCCCAAATGCCAAAACAAATAGAAATTTTTGTTTGGAACATTTAGCATTATCACTGCTTGCTAAAAGTACATGACGGTATCTGGAAAAGTCATGTCTTAAAAAATATAAGCTATAAGTGTAAACATTTTCGGTCTTCAAATGAATTCTGTATTTATTATTTTTAAGGCATATATACTCAACTGCTTATAAGAGTAGAAACTGTGTTAACAGTTCCTGAAAGGTAGACAAAGTGAGGGCTCGTGCACGTCATAGGACCCTTTGTCCAGGGACCGTGAGTCTATAGCACATGGGCCGCAGCAGGCTGTTTGCATCTTAGAAAGCTTGCCCATTATCACCTAGACTGGCTTAGTCCTTTCAAAATGTAAAGACATTGAGTGTGAATAAAGCAGTCTAATGATCATGGTGTGCACCTGTCCCTAGAATTTGGAGGGATCCTGTTGTCTACCAAAGAAGTGTTCTCTCTAATGACAACATAAATGGGAAAAAAACTAGTATTTTTTCCTTAATCCAGAAGCTGCATGTAGTATAAATCTTGGCAGAAGTTTATTTGGAATATATCAGCTTACAAGCTCAAGACATAGAAGAAATATACATGGGAAAGAAATAGGAACCCAGAATAATTATTCTTTTATATACTTGAACAATTGCTGAGGTATATACTCTCCTTATCATTTAAGCTCAAATGAACAGGAAAAACAGCACAAAAAATGAAATTGTGCATAACTCACTATCAGAAAAATAAAAAAAATAGTTTTATAAATAAGGGTCACGGGGCTGGTGAGATGGCTCGGTGGTCTAAAGCACCTACTTAGAACAAGCGTAGCAAAGTACAGGGACCGTGGTTCAATCCCCCAGCACCACATGCCAGCCAGCCCCACCGCCTGGTGGGCTGAGCTGGCCACACACACACACACACACACACACACACAAATTAAAAAAAAAAAGGGTCACGTTTTAAAGAATTACAGAAGACAATAGAGTTGCCAAACATTTCCCAGTGTTCTAAATAGTATTTTTTAATTAATTTTATTGAGAAACAACAATAAGACAGCTTAAAAACAGGTTAGTAGGACAGTTACAATGATTAATACATTGCATATTGTTGTCTTTGTAGTAATTATTCATAGTACATGATAAAGACATGATATCCTGTCCAAACACTATTAGTACAAATCTTTCTTCTCATTGAATTAAGAGAAAGTAGCTGTATAGCTATTCTATTTTTTATATAAAGATACACAATGGTCCTTCATTTTATCACTCTTTTTTATTTACTTTTGTCAGAGATGGGTATTCCATTGCCATTTACATATTGTAGGTGAGTGAATTCAACAAAATAATCCAATATAGTCCAGTAGTCCATAATAGTAGTGCATTATCCATAGGACTGGCAATGTCAGAAGTTGTTGACTTGAGCCTTTTATAGCTCAGCATATTAATATGGCTTTAATTTTTATACCTCATTTTTATACTTTTCTACTGGATGGTTAAGACCAAGAAAAAGCAAGATCTCTATAACAAGAAATGTAACTTTTGTATCTGATAAGGTCAGTCAAATTCCTTAGGATTTACCCTGAAACCCTGTACCACACTTTATAGATCCTTTGTCAGTGTCAGCCATGTGGATGAGTCATGGCCATTTCTTGACCAATTTGCTCTCTGTGAAAGCCTGAGAGAATGTTTTCTCTTCCTTTGACTCTCTTTAGGCTCATTATACATCATCAATCACTTTCCTCTGGAGCCCCATAATGTCCTTGATCAGAAAATTTGGGACATCACTGAGTTACAGGATATTACAGTATATATTCTCTTATGTTCTGAGTCCTCACTGACCTTGAATGGCTACGGCCAAAATGTTGGCTATCCTTGTAGCCCTTCTTTTTCTCCAATTTTTGGCTTGTAAATTTAAGTTGTTAAGACTCCAGAAGAGAAGCTTAATTTGTAGTGCCTCTAATGTCATATCAATTACTGTTATACTGTCTCTCAAGTAAATGTTTGTTTTTTTAAAAAAGGGTAATAAGTGAAAACAAGAGAAAAGAAAAAAAAAGTCATAGGATTGTCCTGCTACAATGCTGTATAGGGTTAGATTTGTTAATTTCTGTGTAAAAAATATAATTGTTTATTCCTAGTTTTTAAAATATTTTTTATTTTTATTTATTTTTCTTGATATTCTGTAGGGATTTAAAGTTTAATATATCAATACTTGATGGAAATTACCTGCTCCATGTTACTTCTAAGATGTTTGATATACAGATAGTGAGGTTAAGTTCAACTGCCTATGTTGTAGGGTAATAATATCACTAAATAGTATTTAGGAAAACAAAAACCTAGGAAAAAACAGATAAATAGTAAGATGAGACAACTAATTGCAGTTAAAAGAGGCTTGGTTGAGTTTAGTAACTAAAGTGAACATCATATTAAGTGTCAATATTATAAGCAGAAAAGAGTAAATTAAATCAATAATGTCGAAAATACATTTTATAATAACCTAGTGAATAAGGAGATACACGTCATAGAAAATATTTGATAATAGTTATGGATAAACACAATTGAAATACATATGTGGATAGCAGTTGTTGCTAAAGAAGAGAACAAGAGAACTAATTGCAGATGTAATAAAAGAAGATGATCCAGATCTCAAAAGCAAAAGATGAATTAAAAACCTAGAAGCCACATGCTGTGTCCAGACTTCCTGCGGACCTGTTTCTTGCTTCAGCAGTGTTAGACAGAATAGATCCACGGACTCTCTCTTTCATCTTCTGTCCAGCTTCCAGTTACAGAATTTGGGGCCATCTTTTTGCCTATCTCTTTCTTCCAGGACTGGACAGC